GTCCAACCCTGTTGCTAAATCCAGGCCCTGCAGTCCTCACTGGGGCACCCAGCAGGGTCTGAGGGACTTTGGCACCCTGGGGGAGTTCCCTGGAGAAGATGGTACAGAGCATCCTTCAGAGGATAAGCCTTGCTTGAGATAAAGGGCTGGGTTTCTTAGCTTGAGCACAGATTTGTCAGGTGCCTGGTGGCCGGAGTGCTGCCAGCTTCTCTCTCAGCCTGGCTTTGTTTGCTGCCCAGCTGCTGGCCTCTTTTCCTTCACCCCCCAATTCCTGCTATGCCCTTCACCACTAATTGAGTGTTTCAGGCAAAGCTGGTCAAAACATTTTTATTCAAAACTTATTTTGCTGGCAGCCAAGCTTGGCAGCATCAAAGAAAAAGATAAATAAAAAATACTGTCATTTTTCTGGGAGAAATTCTCATTTAAAAGCTGGAAGCTGAACTGTTGTCACCCAGTTGAGGGGGAATACATTGCCAATTGCTTTTTTCCTTTTCTAGTTTACCTTCTCACCCTTCCATCCCCATTCCCCCTCTTCATCTCTATTTTTTTCCCTACTTAGCTGTGTTTTCCTACTTGTGCCAGAAAGGTCAAGGGAATCTAGGCTAACATGAAGACTTTCTCTCCAAGCTGAATGTTTTTCATTCAAAAAGTAATCAGATGTTTTCCAACTTCCCTTGCCCCCTATTCTTGGGCTGGTTTCTGCCTCAGAATCATAAAATGACACAAGATGGGAGAGACACACAAGGGTCATGGAAGATGGACCAAGGTTTCTGTGGTTTCCATGCCCATCAGGGCAAGTAAGAGCCAGTGGGGCAGGGCTGGGCTGGTGCTCCATGCACTGGTTCCCAGATGCTGCTCCATCAGGCAGCAAAGCCCATCCATGAAGCTCTCTATGTCTCCTGAGTGTCCCAATGCTTACACACACGTGGTGGGGGCTGAAAGAAGGAAGATGTTCTGCCAGTGCTGGAGCGACGTTACCTGGCCAGGAGAAGAACCACTTTGAGTAGTTATCCTTGGAGGGAGGAGACTCCAGGCTGCAGGAGAGGCTTCTGGTGTCCTGGTGTGGGTCAGGGTGGAAGGGATCTGAGTGGGTCACCTTGTCCCACCTTCCTGCTCCAGCAGGGCCATCCCAGAGCACACAGCACGGGATTGTATCCAGATGGTTCTGGAATATCTCCTGTGAGGGATAACTCCACACCTTCTCTGGACAACCTGTTCCAGTGCTCAGTCATTGCACAGGAAAGAAGTTTCTCCTCATGCTGAGGTGGAACTCCAGTGCATCTGTATCTGCCTGTTGCCTCTGTCCTGTTGCTTGGCACTGAGCCTGGCCCATGCTCTTGACACCCACCCTAAAGAAATTTGAATACAGTGATGAGCTCTCCTCTCAGTCATCTCTTCTTGAGGCTGAACAGGCCCAAATCCCTCAACCTTTCTTCATGAGAGAGAAGCTCCAGTCCCTTTATCATCCTTGTAGCCTCTGCTTGAACCAGCCCAGGAACTGCTTGTCTCTCCTGTACTGAGGAGCCAGAACTGGCTTTACCCTCCTGGCAGAGGATCCAGAGTGGTGACCTGTCCTGTGCTGCCTGGAATAAACTGAGAGCACCAGGAAAACCAGCATGAATAAAGATAACCTTCCAGATCAATGCCTCACCCTGCTTTAGGGGGTGATCTGGCATTATGGAATATCTGTGATAATCTTGGAAAGGTGAGTTGCAGGACCGGGGGACTGGTACTGACTGCTGTGTACACAGCACACCAGCTGGGTGGCATGGTCCTCTGTTAATTGCTGGGTGATTAGCAGTGGAAATTAGCTTTCAGATACCATTCCTGCTGGGACTGCTGCCCCTGAACCTAAAGCAAATGATCAGAAAGGTTTATTGGACAGGTAAAGCTACTGAAGTAAGTTATTTTCTTTGATTTACTGAGTGAAAGCTGCAAACCAAGCAGTTCTTTTTTTACAGTTTGTTAATAGCTTGCAACCCTGTGGGTTCAGATTATTTTTAAATTTAAAAATAATTTTAAAAGTTAAACAAGAAAGCAATCTGGTGCAGACTGAAGAGTGCCTGTGCTGTGTCAAAGCAAAGCTCCCTGATTGGAGCTGGCTTGGTAGCAACTACCTGGGGAGAATATTTAAGAGCAGAGTCTGGCTTGGTGTTCCCAGTTTCTGCCAATCAGCATCTTGGGGCTTTCTAACCCAGAAAGGGTTATGTTTGATGGCCTGTGCTGAACCCATTTACCTGTTTGGCTTTTGAAATATTTATGCTTCCAGGCCCTGCAACACCTGCAGCAGGGAGTTCCATAGTCTTGTGTTGCATGAAACATTATTTCTGTGCATTGTGATTTGTACCTAATACCTGTTCATTTTGCAGTGTGCCCCCTAGTTGTTCTCTAGAAAGGTGTAGTTACAATTCATTCCTTATTTGCCACCTCCATAACACTTATTACCCCCATTTTATTACCCCTCCATCTGCTCTGATCCCATAATTACCTCTTTATTTGACAAAATTGAGTTTTTTCCTTGAGCAGAAGCTCTTGCAGACCCCTCATTACCCAAGCTGCCTGTATCAGCATGGTGCTATTATGTGCTATTATTTCAAGGAGTCCTTTAAGACTTCTACACTCTAGTGAAGAAAGGGGAGCAGTGTGAGTTTTTAATGGCAATGTTTTTTGTAGTCTCACTAGTTTTCATAATGTTTCTTTATTTGCCTTGTTCCTGAGCACTGAGCTATTTTCAAGGAACTAAAACTTGGTGACTGACTTGGGCAGTCACCAAGATCCCTGTTCTGGGTGAAAATAGTCCTGAATTACATCCTTCAGCTTCTCTGCAGGTAACACTGGGGCAAAATTTGTACTCGAGGCCTATCATCATGAGTGTTCCTTGTACACCATCACTGGTGACCCCACCAGCTTTCAGAAAGGAGTCCTGCTTCTGCAACACTTGAAAAGGAATGGTAATTAAATTTTTATGCCATTAGAAAGTTGCTGACTACACTTGTTTTTTGGTCTGCCCTCCTATGATTCCACATTGAACTTGACAGAAATTCTCCATCTGTTTTTCTTTTCTTCCTCTGAACATGATGTTCACATTCTGAAGGATAGTTTTTTCTTGTTTTTGGCTTTACTACCAGTAATTGCCTTAAGTTACCATTCAATCCAAATCAACAAATTGATTTTTTTGGTCCTTTTAAAATATTTGGAATTAATAAGTGTCTTGATGCTTTCCTGTAGTACCTGTACATGGTCTCCTGAAGTATTTCTGCCTTTCTACCTATTTCCTTGTAATGCTACACTGATTTTTATGTAGTTCTCCTTTTTCAAATCCAGGTTTATTACTTAGATTTCTGTGGGCTTCTTTTTTCTTCCATAGGGTGCTGAAGAATAGCCACTCTCATATGTTGCTGGGGACAAGTTGCTCTTCTATTACAGGTTTTTAACTAGTTATTTATAATGTCTAAAAATACAGTGTTTTCAGCACCCTGTCAAGACATTTTCCCAGTCTCTGTGGTATAACTGTAGTTTCAAATCATTCCTTATTTCTGTCTCCATACCAAATCACCCTGTGGACAGTGTCACAATCTGGTAGGTTTTAAACCAATCTTAATCTGTGTTTTTTTTAACACATTGCACCATTTCTGATTTTCTCCTGCTTCTCGTATTCAGGGATTTACAGCTTCCCACTGGGTTTTGTCTTCTACTGAGCCTCTTCTTGCTGTGCCCCCCCCTTGGTCTCTCCTATCCCAGAGCAGCTCCAGCCTGTTTGGAGGAGACACCACAGCCTTGGATGTAGTAACAGGACAAGGAGGGGATGGCTTCAAACTGAGAGAAAGCAGGCTTAGATTAGAGGTCAGGAAGAAATTCTTGACTCTGAGGATGGTGAGGCCCTGGCACAGGTTTCCCAGAGAAGATGTGGATGCCCCATCCCTGGGAGTGTGAAAGGCTGGATGGATCTTTGAGCAGCCTGCTCTAGTGAAAGGTGTCCCTGCCCATGGAAAGGTCTGGAATGGGATGACCTTTAATGTCCCTTCAAACCCAAACCAGTCTGGGATTCCATGATCCACAGCTGTGGTTGGAGAGCCAGATGCCTGGGGGACACAGGTCCTTGCAGGGAAGAAAAGCTGCTGGAACATTCTCCTCTTGCGCTGAAGCTTTTGCTGCAGGTTTTGATTTACATCTCTGATCTCCACCAGACATTCACCTAATTGAGTAGATTGACCCTGGCTCTAATGTAACAGGCAATTAATCAAAGGCTGACTAATCAGCTCTCTCCGTGGCTGGCACCTTGCAGAGGGTCTGGGAATCACTTACATGCTACTCTGTGAACCAGTTTTATGCTCTAAGATTTACAGCCAGTTAATTCTATTGAACTCTGTGGATTTACTGTAAACTTCAATTATTATAATCTCTGAAACATAATAAAAAATTCCTTCACTTAGCTGCCTTAAGTGGTAATTTAAAAACTAAGTTTTGTAGTTGCTTTAACTAATTACACTGGGGAGTTTGACCATAGTATTGAAATTTAGCTGAAATCTGTGGTTTCCTTGGATTTAAATACCTTAAAAACTGATTGGCTAAGTAATAGAATTTAAACTTATTTTTCAGTGTTTAAAAGTATTTTCTTTTCAAAGCCCTTAATTTTGATCTAGATAACTTCTGAAGTTTGATGCTGCTGAAAGGCAAACCTGATTTTCGAGTTGAGGTTCTCATTTGCCAAGCTGCAGCAGTTAACAGCCGTTCAGTGATGTTGACTGACATCTATTAAGAGCTTTAAATTGAAGATGCACTGTGAAATAAGGTAAAATTAAAGCAGAATAAACATCTGCAAGCGCTTACTCCCCCTGCATAGCCAAACTCATTGGAGTGTGTTTTGTGCTGGGTGTTTTGAAGCAAAGGGCAGTGCAGGGATGCAGTTGGAGGCTGTGGCACTGTCCAAGAGCAGCAAAGCCACTGCTGACATCCTCATCAAGAATGACATGGGGGTGATTTTTTTTTTCTCTTTCTCCAGACAGGCCCATTTATGAGCTCCCTGCTGGTCCTCTGAGCCCCATTCTGACTTCTTTTTTCTGCAGGAAGGGGGTAAGCAAACTGCACTTTTCTTGTTTGGTTGATGCTGAGTTTTTCTGATGCTCCAGAAAACCACATCTGTTCCCTTTCTTGTAACAAATGTTCAAATCTCTTATTTACCAGTGTTAACACAATTAAATAAACTAAATTGCTGTGGGCAATGTTGGCTGTCTCTTAATGTACCCAACTTTCTTTTAGTTCTTTTTCTCACCACCCTGGATATCACCTTCTGATTTTTTTTTCCATTTCTTCCATATTGTTTGGTACATGAAACCCAGATACATTAACTTCTGCTGTGTTTGTTGTTCATGATCCTTGCTGCCTGAATTGTTGAAGCTGCCTGCTTTGCTTGGCTTTCTCTTAAAGACTTTTGTGTCCTCTTTGTCACTTCAATGACCTAAAGCACGTTGCTAACACTTAAAACACAACCTTTCTTTTTGCCCTCCAGTCAAATCCTGAACTGAGTTAACCATGCAAGTTGTATCCCCTGTACATTTTTAACTGAATCCCCCCTGTACATTTTTCTGCACTGTTAGTCTTGTGGCTGTCTTTTCACTGTTTTAATTTCTTTTCAGTGCTGTTAGATAATTATATTGCACCAGCTCTGGAAGCATGGCTGGTCTCTTTAAAGTAAGGACTCCCTGTGTTTTCTGGGGCATGAGCATTCCCCAATGTGTCTGAGCTTCTCTTCAGCATTCCTGAAAGATTTCGAGGATCATTCATTTAAAATCCATCGTTAAGGTATTCATTACCCTTCCCTCCTCCTTTCCTGTTTCAGAGCAGGCTGGAGCTGGGCTGGGTTGGCATCCTCCTTTTCCCAGCACCCCAGGCTGTGCTGCAGGCAGATCCCTGGCTGCCTTTCACCAGTGCTGAGTAGGGACAGACACAGTGCTTGTGCCATGTCAAGGTTTTGCTGTAACAGACCTGGTTCTTTGAGCTCCTTCTTGGCTGCCTGTGCTTGCTCATGCATCTCCAAAGGGTTTCACTGTGTATAGGGAGCAGCTGCCCCTTTTCCTCCAGCCTGATACTGCTGCTTATCAGTGTGGCTGGGATCAGGCTGTAGTGTTTGTACATGGCAGGGGTTCTCATTAGCTAAAGTCACTCTGGAGGCATTTTTCTCTTGGTCATGTTCCCAATTGGTGCACATGTTGCTGTTTGCTGCTTCTTCTCTTTTTTTATTTTTATTTTTTTCCTATTCCTGGTGTATTTGGTTCAGTCTCCCTCATCTCTGCCAAGAGAGCTGATAGGTGGGTATTGCCCTCTCTGCCTCTCATACCACTTTCCATGGTGGAGGGGTGTTCCAGGTCTGTCTGTCACATCTGCCAAGCTACTTTACTTTAACCCAAGTAACTCAGTATTTGTGTTCCTGTTGGGTTCCTTCTCTAAATACAACCATTGCCTGTGACTTTGCTTGCATTTTTGGAGATTTAATCTGCTCTTGTCCATACTCTTGCTTGCAAGCTGGTCTTGCATAACCCAAAATGTTTCTGTTTACCTTGATGTTGACAAAGGAATTTGTGGACTCAGTTGCAAGGTGAAGAACACTGATTATTTCTTTCTTGATTTCTGATCAAACCCCACCATTTTCCTGGGGAGTTCCAGCCTTCCTTCATCTCCATTGCAACTGTAATGGTTTTGGTTGCATTTCTGAAAACAATCTCTTTCAGTGCTTGAAATCCACCTCACGTGGAGCTTGAATTGGCCTGTCTGCCTGCTTTTTTTTAGGGGTAGATTTGCCTGCTCAGTTGTAATTCCTGGGCATCCCACTAAACTGAGTGCTGCTCCAGGCTTTCCTTCTTCCCACCAGCACAATAAACGTAGGTTGCAAGAGAGACCCTGGGGTTCTCCTGAAACTGCTGCAAATTCCTGTGGCCTGGACCTCTCAGATCCACTTCAGAGGCTGTTAAATTAGTGGGAAACCCTTTGACTGGAATAAGTGAGCCATCAGGTCCAAGCCTGGGGTGAAAGCCAGAATTTGATCCAAAAACCCATTTGTGAAGTGTACAAGAGCACAGGACCGTGGCTGCTTGGCCAGCAGGCAGCACCTACTGGAATGGCCACAGGGAAACCATTTGATCAAATTACTGCTTGATAATCTACAACTTCTTTATTTGCATACTTCAGCAAGCCAGGTCAGATTTCTCTACTACAGGCTTAGTGGCCACATGGATTTTGTTGATATTTTGGACTCTAGGTGAAGCTAACCCACTTGTTTGTGGCTAATGGCTCACAGCCTCATTTCAGCTGGTTTTCTGGTGTGGTCTCAGGCACTTGGTCTGTGGTGCTTCATGGAAATTTTAGTGAGGAAATGCTGTGCTGTCCATAGATGTGTTTAATTGAAACCCTGCTTCTGCTAAGACAGCTTCCTCCTCCTCTGGGGTTCAGGACCTTGTCATCTGTACCTGTCAGCAGACAGCAGGTGAATATGACTTGGGCAGAAATGTGTTGTACAAATATTTCTGCCTTCACACCTGTCTAGCACAGGCACATTCTTTCCAGCTGCCCCAGAGGAGTGAAGTACTGGGAGACACTGTCTGACCTCAGCAAGATGTGCCAGAGAGGTTTCACTCAGATATTCATGCCTTGGCAAGGGGAGTACTCTGCCCTGAGCTCTGTTTCATAAGCTTTTCTGGTTTTGGGGCTTCTGCCTCAGAGATCCCACTCAGTTGCCTGTGTTTGCTCTTTAGTCTTACATTTCTTTTGATTAAGACTTCAGCCAAGAAGAGGGAATAGCTGGACTTTAAGTTCAAGCACTGGGAGATGTATTTGTTTTTTGCAAGTCTAGAGAATGTTGAGGAAGGCTCAAGGTACTGAAGAAAGTGGAAGTGTGAGATGTTGCTGCTTGTGTGCAGCTTTATTGCCATCCTGCCTTCCCTGCACATTCGTGTTTTGTTCAGCCAAGTTTCCTCCGGCAAATGCTGCAGCAATAATTGTTTTGCAAAGAACTGCAATGAGAGTGGTGCCTGCTAAATATCAGGTAGGTGGCAGGTATCCCATGGCTGCTGCTCTGTGAGGGAATTAAATCAGTCACACTGGCATAAAGTCTCTTTTTCTTGGTATAGCTGGGCTGATCTCTCATCCAGGCCCAGGGCAGGAGATGCCTGAAAGGGATCTCACAGCTTGGCCAAGCCCAAGGCACATCCTGTTTCTGGGGGAACAACCCTTCCAGTGGCTCCCAGGTGAAAGGATGCTTGATCTTTGGAATAATGGTGTAAAGGTTTATGTGAAATACATTGTCTGGGTTTTAAAAATACCAGCCTGACATTTAGTGGGACATAAAGGGAATATATCTACAGTTTAGCTGGTGGTTGACAAAGAATAATAAAAACTGACTACATCTGAAAATGTATTTGAATTCCTGCCAATTGTGCTCTAGCTCTTTTAGCACAACAGTTCTGGAAAAAACAACCACAGAAAGGGCAGTGTTGAGTTGATGAGGATGAGAGTTTATTCTCTTGACATCATTGTGCTGTTATTTCTGGATTACTTATTTTTCTCCATTGCAACTTCATAAAGGAAGGTTTCAAGAATAAAGTAGAGTAAGAACTTCATGTGGGAGATGAAGAAAGGCAGCTGAGTGCATGGGAATCAGAGTGGGAGACACATTGTATGGTCTCTCATTTCCTTCCATAAATGTGATAGTCCTGATGAATTCTGGGGAATTTGAATGGAAGTGGATAAGCATTCTGTTTCCACAGAAAACATGTTTGGGGCAACAGAGAAAGTTGCAAAAGGAAGAGTTCAAAAGTAAGGGAAAACAGAACAATCGTTGGGAAGAAGTTTGGAGCAAGCAACTTCTCTGGTGCAGTAAAGCTGGCTAAACCTTATTGAACCTGAGACATTATTTTCTCTTTGGCCAATCATTTCACAGCCTCCCTTCTGGCACTGCTACTTGGACATTTATTTTCAGTCAATCATGCAGCATTGGAAACACAGGGAATGCACAGGGAATGAGGCACCCACAGGCCGGTGTGCCCAACCTGCGCAGGCAGCCTGGCTCTGAAATCTTCACTCTAAATTAGCAGGGAAATTTCCCCTTGGCTTAGCAGAGGAGACAAGCCTCCTGGGCGATGGATGGATGGAAGTGGCTCACTCAGCTGGCTCCAGTGACGAGTCTGACATACCCAGACGTGGTGCTTCCCTCGCGGCTCTGCTGCGCTCTCGCGTATTTTTAGCCACAGCTCCACAGCTCGTCAGCACGGCCACTCAGCCATGCCTGATGTGGGCACCATGGGGACAGGGGACAGGCTGTGAGGCTGGGAACAGCCCTGCTGGAAGGCACCTATCCCCAGCAGTGACTTCACCAGGGAGCCTGACACCCTCCCCAGCTGGGATCCATTTGGATTCTGCCATGGCCAGACTTGGGGATTGAGGTCTGGCCTGTAAGGACTTTTCTTGCTCCTCTTGAGCTCTTCCTAAGTAGCTTTTATTTTGAAGATGCCAGTCTGGACTGCTCTTGGGGGATCTGCCAGGCAGCAGCTTTTAGGAACAAGATCATCAGAACACCTTTTCTTTTCTATTTTTTCTGGGGGGGTGAACAAAGAGTTGCATTAGGAACACCTGCAGAAAATTGCCTCAGGGAGCAGCTTGCCTTAGAAAGGCAAGATACTGCTGAGAGCAGATTAGAGCCAGCTTACAAATTGCTGCAGGCAGTGGGGCCAGAAGCCCTTTGGGTTGTGAGCAGCCACATCAGTGTACTCCCTTCCTTCCCCCCATTTTCTCTCCACTTTTCCCCCCCTTTCTCATGTTTTGAGCATTGTGAGGAGCTGGATTCAGATGTGTGGCTTTGTTTTATTTTATAGCTTTTCTATGCTGTTTCTTGAGGAACATCAGGTATTCTAGAAGCTGGAAAAAAATTTTTCACACCAATAAATGAATTGTTGGGAAGAGCTTCAGTTTCACTACAGACAGACCTTTTGCAGGCAGAGACTGAGGAAAGATTTGCCCTGAATGTTGGGGTAATGACCCTTCTCATACAGGGATTCAAAACTACATCCAAAATGCACATTCAA